CCACCCATGAGAGTTTTAGAGCACTTCTATCTTTAGGCAGGGTCCGTGGACCACATATAGAAAATCTTATCTGGGCACATTGGAGTTCTCATTAGGAGAAAAGTCTCTTAGAATGTTTTCTTCAAGCAGGAGTTCTTAATCCGGGATTCATGAACAGGCTTCCAGGGGGTCTGTAAATGACCAGGAATTGCAAAATTGGATGTGTTCGTGTATGCTCGCACGTGTATTTCTTTGGGGAGAGGCCCATGACTTTCATCAGACCGGGGCCTGTGGCCCTGCCGAGGAACCGGACTCTCCCTGTGGTCAGAGGCTGGCCCAGCTTTGGAAGCAGCCTGTCCCAAGGTGCACCTGAGAGGGAGAGCCCACCATGCAACACATCGCGGGTCAGTGTCGCAGTGTCTGTAACCTAGTCATTAGCTTCCCAGGGTCTGGTTCTTACCTCTTCCAGGGTCATGGGGCAGACCCCCAGGCCTCCCCAGCCTTCCTGCTCAGACCCCAGGTCCTACCTCAGCCAGAGGGCACTGAACAGGCTCTTGATTCACCAATAGGCACACCTGGCCTTGCTGCCCAGCAGGGCTCACTCAAGTTTGGGTCCCAGGGCGTGGGCTGGCTCTCCTGCCTCTCTGGGGAATGGCTGGGCGACCCGGGGCTTCTCAGGGCTCTGTCTCCCCTGTAACAACCTCACTCTGATTTCCTTTCTATATTTAGATCTTTTCTCAGTCCTTTCTTAACAGTAAGCAAACGATGCCTAGCAATCTGCTTTGTGCTTTCGATCCTCTTTCCCTCTGAGGAGAGCTGGCTGTGGCCATCCAGTTGGGAGGGGCAGCAGTCTGGAGAGGCACGCCTCCTGGGGCCTCTGTGTGGTCCGCTTTCTCTGGCCTTGGCCCCTGCGAGGCTTCCTCACTAGACGATAGAGCCAGGGGCTGTCCTGGAGGGACTCATGAGGGGCCAGGCCTCAGAGAGTGGCTGCCGTGCTGCTCCCCCCGGCTCTTGAGGCTTTCTTGTGGCTGGTGGTCAGATGTCCAGGCCTGTGAGCTTTGGGTGGAGTCAGATTCCAGGACTCCCCCAGGGTCATGTGCTCTATGAGATCCCGGAGGAGAGATCAGGACAGTGGGGTGAGTAGCACCCACTTAACACACCTGTTGTTCCAGTGCTTCCTGTGCCCCAGGAGTAGAGAGGCCCAGAGCCATCTCACTGCTGAGTGGCCTTGGGAAGCCTACGTAACCTGGGCCCCAGGAGGCCAAGGATACCTCAGCTCTGGGCTGCTGTGAGGCTTACAGAGACGGCGCGTGTTAAGTGCCCCACCTAGACCCTGCATGCAGTCGGCGCTCCATCTTTGTTGGTTTTCCCATCACCGGCACCCCAACTACCAAACTGAGTACCCAGTGATATGTAAGGGGAGAGGGTTCCGGAGAGGCCTGAAGGAACATGGGACAGAAGGCTTCATGAAAGACGGGGTGCTGGTAGAACGGCAACAAGAAGCAGCCCACACACTTGGAGAGAGGGCAGGAGAAAGCACCAGGACCTGCAGCAAGGGACGGAGGGCAGCTCTCTTCGGTTGTTTCTAAGATTTGTCATCAATGCCTTGTTCTTAAGGAAACTGAGGCAGTGGGGTGGCCGGGACAGGCCTCCAAGCCTTGTATTCTGGCCCTGCTGCCAGCCACTGGACGTGACCCTGTCACCAGCCTCCAGTCCTGGGAGGCGTGCCATGCTTGGGTGCTGGCAGCCAGGAGCCTGATTTAGCGTAGCCTCGTTAGGAGAAGCTAATTAACAAACCTGCATTTAAATAAGCAGCCACCCGGGTGTTTGTAACCACTGCCTTATTGAATTGTGACAAGTTATTAGCCCTTGCATGTTAAATGAAACAGAAGCATCCGGGAAAAGCCCCTAAATCCAGCCTGCATGAAGCAGATTCCTGCCGAGAACACGACGGTAGCGAGAACAGCTCCCTCGCCGCCTTGGGGAGAACTCCAGGCCTCCCTTCCTGGGAGGTTACATAATCCTCTGTCAATAGGGATGACACCAGCAGAGAGGCAGGGAGTGGGAGGGGAGGACCATCAGAGAGGCCCTCAGCTCCATCGGGGGCTCCGCCACCTTTGTGGGTGCTAGAGACACAGCCTGGGCAAGGGGGCTGACACGGGCCAAGCAGTGCCCACCCTGGGCCACAAACAGGCCCTGCGGGCTCATGCGAATGACCTGCAGCTGGGCCCACTCCCTCAGGGCCCCAGTGTGCCCAGAAGACTTTGTCACCCCATTTGGCTCTGCTTTTGGCCCGGCCCCCCTATGGTGTCAGCTGTACTCGGAGGGTCTCTCTGCATTTCCTTCAAACTGTGGGAAGAGATGAGCAAGGGCCAGCTTCAGTGGTGTCTTGATCTCTCTATTTTTTTGAGAAAAAAGCCATTGGCCCTCAAGTGTCCACTAGCAAGGACACCAGGCCTTACGCAATGGAGCTGGGAGCTGCTGCAGCTCACCTTATAGTGTCTGTCCTGGGGCACCTGTGGGCACCTGGCCTAAATCTCTCCTTGGCACCTCCTGCCCAATGCCCAAGACAGAACCAGGGGGAATGCCACATGTCTGGGATGGGGTAAGACTATAAAAGGCAAGAATGTGGAGGGGAAGTGAGAGGACGCCAGTTAGGGAGGCAGGGCGGGTCAATGGTGCTCAAGACTCACGTGGGCCTAGCTTGGTCACTTGTTAGCGGTGTAACCTGAAAAATGAGTCTAGCCTGCTCCCTCCTTTAAAATGGGAACAATAGCCACCCCTATACAGGGTCTTGCGAGGAGCCAATCAGACAACGTCTACCAATTCTGCCTGGCATCTGGTAGGTCATTACAGAGCGCTAGCAGAGGAGGCAGTGACAGCACCGACAGGCAGATGTGGAGCGGGGTTTCCTGGGCTCGTTGCTGCTTGATGCTGGTCCTGGCGCTGTGTTTAGATTTTGGCTCTGTTCCTTACTGGTGACGTGGCCCTGGGTAAGGTGACTCACTTCCCTGAGCCATCTCCCTCATCCGTTGGACAGTGCCTGTGCTCGTCCACAGCGCTGGGGTGAGGATGGCACGAGGTCACGTGTGTTTACAAAGGGCCCAGGCGGACTAGGAAGCCATACATCCCAGCCCCCCCCTCCTTGTCTCTCCTACCCACTTCCTCCATCTTTCTGTCTGCCAGCAAGAGAGCCGTTCACTCTGGCGGGTTCTGGGGTCGTGATAGCAGGGAAAGAGTGCTCAGATACAGTACAGCATTCTGGGGCGTGTTTTCCTTAGAATTAGGGTGGGACCTATGAGGAGAGGCTAGATATATTTCTGGACTTTGAAAACCCCTCTGTTTGTGGTTTTTAAAAAGTTGCCACAGTGGCTCAAGAGGGCAGAGAGGAAACAATCCCTTTCTCTTCAGTCCTTCGAGCAGTCAGACCGTCAACCGACTCATCCACGGTTGTTGGTGAGAGCTCACACTCCCTGCGAAGCTCTGTGGCTGTGGGAGAGAGCTGAAGGACATAGTGGATGCCTGATGCCTGGGCAGTCATGTGAATGGAGACGGCTGGTCCCCTCTAATTCAGGGGTTTCCTCCAGGAGCTGCCCAGGTGCCTGTCTCGGCAGGAGGTGGGCTTCGCACAGGTGGGGGAGGTGCTGTGTCCTAGAGGGGCAGAGTACGGCGAGTGGAGTTCAAGAGCCGGCTCTGTTTTCAGATGACTCGGTTAGTCTGCATGCCGAGTCTGTACTGGGGGTGTTGTCAGAAGGGCAAGAATTACACAGGGTCTTAAACTCTCAAAGGATCTTTCCTGGTGGACGTTCTCCACGTCTGGGAATTGGCAGGCGTGGAAGAAGAGACACCAGCATTTTGCCAGGTCACTTTTGTTTCCATAGTGCTCACATCCTCTCCTTTCAGTCAAAAATTTCCTTTGTACAGATTCCCAGCTGGCTAGTGATGGCAGAGAGAAAAGAGGCATAATGACAATATTCACTCTTCTCTGCCACTGCTGTTCAGTCAACAAACACACACTGGGGATAAAGAGGATTAACCACGGCCTCTGCCCTCAGGTACTTGAGTCTAGTTGGGGAGTTGAAGAAATCAAATCTGCTGCTACTACTACTTCTGCTACTGCTTGTGCTGTGTTCGGGTGGCAGATGGAGGGGTGTGTGGGCCACGGTCGGTTCCCAGAGGGGAGGGCTCAGCACTGCCTGGAGACAGGGAGGCGCAGGAAGGTCTCGTGAAGGGTGAGACGTTTGAGCTCTGACTTAAGAGACGGTCTAGGCAGGCCCGGGGCACCGGGGAGGGCCTGGGAAGGGAAGAGCTTAGCTAAGGATCTGCTCCGGAGGAGCTCAGGAAGTCTGTTATTGTTGGGTGCGCATGGGAACCATGTGGGGACTGGCTAGAAACAAGGCTGGAGAGGGGGCTGGGCTGGTCGGGGGGGCCCCACAGGCCACAGCAGGTGTGTGGGTTTAACTCTGTGTGGGAAGCAGGTGAGGGGTTAAGTAGGGGGTGGTCAGATGAGCACAGTCACTCTGGGGAAGGGTCTCCAGCGCTGGGCTGGAGGACAGGCTGCGGAGCACGGAGCCTGGGCGCAGGTGACAGTTAGGAAGCTACTGTCTTGCCCCAGACCAGAGCTGGGTGAGGGCCTGCAAAAGACAGGGTGGGCTCCAGAGACCCAGGAGGCACAAGGCAGTGGCTGGGACGGGAGAATGGGAGAAGGGGGCGAAGGGAAGCTTCAGGGTGAGTTGCGGTCTAGCCTGGGGTGGCTGTGATGCCGCGGGGGAGGAGGAGCAGGGGGAGGGGCCGGGTGGAGCAGGGGAGACAGGTTTCATTTGGAATGAAGCGAGGATAGGCTTGCAGAGCATCCAGAGAGACATGCAGGTGACAGGCACCCAGGTGTGGAGCTCAGTAATAGGCAATGGGGTGTGCTGGAAGCCATGGGAAAGGATGGGCTCCTCCTGGGAAAGCCCAATGGGAAAGGGACGCTGGGAGAACCCGGGACGCCAGGAGAAAAATCACAATAGCCAAAGAAGCGAGTTTCAAAATGGGAGATGTCATTAACGGTCACAGAGATGGCCCTGGGATGAGAACTGACAAGTCTCCATCAGATGCGGCAGGGAGAGGGCCACAGGAGGAGCAGTTTCAGTGGAGGACGGACGAACAGGAAGTGGAGAAGGAGAAACTGAGCATGCAGCCTGCTCCGAGGAGCAGCGTGGCTGGAAAAGGCAGATGAGAGGAGAGGTGGCTGTGGCTGGCGTACGGGTGGGGGCCCTGGGAGCCTCCATGTCCTGGCAGTGGGGACTGAGGTGGTGGGGGTGGGGGCCCTGGGAGCCTCCATGTCCTGGCAGTGGGGACTGAGGTGGTGGGGGTGGGGCACAAACAGCATCTGGTGCTTCCCAGCTGTGTTCAAAGTCTCACAATGGCTGTGGGGAGAGCCCAGGACACACGTCTAGTCCCACACTTCCCGGGCCTCAGTGTCTCACCTGGAACACGACATTGCTAAGTCTCCTTTCAGCTGTAAAATTTGATTGTCCTGATGGTTATTCATATGCTATTGGTTGGATTCTAAACTGATAGAAATTCTAAATTCTGGGTGGCATTCTAGTAATATCTACCAAGAAGTCCTGGAATGTGTGAAACCTTTGACCTCTGAGAATTTCTTCTAAGAAAGTCACTACAGATGTCAATGAAGGGTGGGTGTTTACAACTTTGTTCATTGCAGCACTGGTAATAATATAAAAAAATGGATACAACCTAATGTCCAATAGTGAAGGACTGGCTGAGTAAATTATAGTACATCCATATGGTAAACTACTTCTGCACTGAAAATCATGGTTTGGAAGAATATGTGTTGACATGGGAAAATGTTAATGATATATTGCTAAGTAAAAAAGCAGGCTATGTTACAGAATGTACAGTATGATACATTCATTTTTAAAATTTTTGATTAGGACACAGACCAAATCTTTAATTAATGTCATTTTTTTCTTCTCTTGGCAAGCAAGTAGAGTATTATCTGGAATAATGTAACTAAAAAATGAAACAGAAAGACAGAGTTATACACTAAGTGTGTTTATGTGAATTTTTAAGTCATTAGGATGGAAAGTAGGCTGCCACTGAGTCAAGGAAGTGGAGAGATTCTGGAATTACAGAATTTTAGAGGTGGCATTTCATTCACCCTAGAGATCCTGGGGCCCAACTCCTCACTCCCCAGATGAAGACGTTCAAGCTCAGTGGGAAGTCTACGCCACTTACTCGTGGAGATGGGGCTGGGAGCCAGGCCTAGAGCAACCTCCAGTTTACGCCAGCATGTGGCCCCTCCAGAGAGACCCAGGTGGCATTTACAAGGTGACCGCACTCCTTGGCACCCTGAGGTGGGGCTGCGGGTGCCGCCCTGCCCTTTGCACCTGGGGGGCTGTGCCGCTCAGGGCTACTCTGGGGTTGCAGGACTGTCCCTAGGCCAGCACAGCCCTGCATTGCCACTGACCTGCCTCTGGGGAGATGGCTGCAAATGCCCTGTGGTCCATGCTCATGCAGTAAGACTGCAGCCCTCTTTCTTATGCAGGAGCTGGCCTCTTCTCTGGCCCTGTGGCCAGCTGCCCACCACGGCCTCTATCATCTCTTGCCTGGACTTCTGCAGTAGCCTCCTAACAGGTCTCCCTGCTCCTACCGGTCACCCAAAGCGTCCAGAGGGCTTCTGCTAAAACCCAGTCAAACCCTCTCCTCTGCTCCATGCCCCAGTGCCTCCAGATACACAGAGCATGCCTGAGCCCGTACCAGGCCTTGCCTCGTCTGAGCCCTTCACTTCCCCGACCTCCACCCCCTGCCTACAATTCCTCATTCGCCCCCCACGTCCCCCGGAGCCGCACAAGCCTCCCAGCTTTTCCTCAGACACAGCAGGCGAGTCCCTGCCCGGGGTTCTTACACCGTCTGGGCCCTCTCCGTGAAGGGCTATCCTCCCACGTTTCTGCGTGCCTTGCTCCCTCACCTCCTCCAAGTCTTCATTTGAATCTTGCCTTCTCAATGAGCCCTCCCTGAGCACAGTTCTAATCCTGCAAGCTGCGTCTCCCCATCACCCTGCGATCCTGTTCCGCATTCCGCCCGCCCCCCCGCCCCGTACTCCTCAAGCCTTCTGATACGCCAGATTGTTTCCTTCTTTTTGGTGCTTATCTTTGCTTGCTTGTCTCCCTCCTCCAGAAAGTAAGCTCCATGTGGGGAGAGATCTTTATTTTGTGCACTGATGCATCCAAAGTGCCTAGGATAGAGGGGCACAGGGTAGCCACTCAAAAAGTGTTTGTTGAATGAAAGCAGAAAATGAGTAAGAGTTAAGAACTTAGAAACATTTCCCCTACGAGGAAAACGTTCGGGGGAAATTTAAGATAGCTCTCAGGGAGAGGCAACGTGGTGTTTGGGGTAAGAATTGTGGTTTAAATCTAGATGAAAGTTTGCCCACCCTACACCCCCATCTCTAACTCTTAGCTGCAGAGCCACAGCTTGATTCCGTATACACAGAATCCTCCCTCTGCTGGCCAGACTCCTCCCTCTGCTGGCCTTCAACCTAGCCTTCAGCTGTGCGGGCTGTTTGACGACTCATGCGTTCATTCATTCGCTCCCTCACTCATCCGTTTATTCCTCACATATGCCAGTGCAGAGCCAGAAGCAGTCTTGCCCTGAGGGAGGTCAGAGTCCAGTAGGGCAGCAGAGGCCCGCAGAACTGACTGCCCCGCGAGGGCGGCCCCTTCATAAGGGACGGATACAGGAGCGGGGGAGGCTGAGGTCGAGGAGGGATCCTCCGTAAGTCATGGGGAGTTTGATCAGGCGTGTAAATTAAAGTATGGGCGGGGTCAGAGAGAGAAGGGGAAGGAAGACATGCCGGCAAGCGCACTTGGCAAAGGCTTAGCAGTGGGAAGAACACCAGGAATATTTTGGGGCTGCCGCGGCTGGGTGCAATGGTAGGCTCATGTGGGGTTGAGGGGGATATAAAGCTGGGCTGGGTCCTGACCTTGCAGGGTCTTGTGGCTCTTTGAAGCCTTCGTTTTCTAGTTCCGAATTTGTACATTTTACAGGCTTCTGGAGAAACAGAGAGTTGGCTCTTTTCTCAGCAAACAGACGGGGTTTAATTGCTGTTACTGTCAGTGTAGTTGCAAATATCATATAAAAAGGGCTTTTTGGCTAATTGTTTTTAGAATAAAAATTCAAGAACTATGTATAGATATTATGCATCCAGGGTACTTTAAAGATCAAACTGTTTACATTACCCTTAAATACAGTCTTTAGCATGAGGCGCTGGGATCTGTGAGTGACTGGGACATGCAATGATCCCCCATGGCTTAAGAGGCTGGAACAATACGACAGCAGTAACTTTTTCCCAGGGTGGGGGGTGAGGTGGGGGTACAGCCAGTGCCCTGTGAGTGGCCTGAGGCCCGGAAGAGTAGACAGCTCGAGGGGCAGTGTCACGGGCCTCATTAACCTGCACTGCTGCTTCCCGCAGACAGCCCACCGCCCCACTGCGCGCACACACAGAGAAAGCTGGAGTCCACAGGCGGCTGGGGGTGCTGGGGGTGGCAGAGGAAGGGGCTGCACTGCTCGTGGGCTCCCGGAGAGCCTCAGGCTCTGGGGCAGGAGGAGGCTGGAGGCAGCCAGGTGCAGGTGGGGCTCAGCACCTCCCACGCTGTCTCCTCCCCTCACCTTCTTCCCGCAGCCCACATGGATGGAGAGGGTTTTTGAGCCACACAAATAAAGCAAATGCATATCTAGTCATCATCCTCCTGTCTTCACGCTCAAGCCTCTCTCAAATCTTAATTTGGGAGTTTTTAGAAAGGCAAATTTATCTGTGAAACCATCCAAATTCTATTTTATTGGAATCCTATTCTCAAAGAATGTAACTGACTCTTGAGAAAGCTGTGGGCTTCTCCATTTGATATTTTCCCAAACTATGTGCGTGTGCGTGTGTGCACATGTGCGCATTTGTTTTAGGGTTCTCTACTTGTCTTATGTACAAACACATAATGCATATTCACAAGGAAGCTACAGAAGTGTGTGTGTGTGTATTCATCACATGTATGTGTAATACAGCACAGACTCCTGTAAGCCAATATTTGAGTTATCATATTTAATTTATTCAACAAACATTTAATTAGCATTTCCTATTCATTAAACACTGTCCCAGCTCTGGGGGTAAAGCCTCTGCCTTAGGGGTGAACACCGAAACCCCAGGAAGTCTTAATCCAGGGTTCCCAATGAACCTTGCGGAGGGCTGTGTCGACCACCAAGGGAGCTAGGCGGACAGGTCAATAGATCAGTGTCCCCCTAGTACAGGAGAGACAGCCATTTGGGTGACACGGCAGCATTGGAGTTCCCTGCCATAGGTGACGTCCCCAGGCCCTGGGGTTGCAGGGCCATGCCCCAGTGGAATACTTCTAGGTGCTTTTGAGGTGGAGATGAAAGAGCTGGGGTGGGGACTGGCATAATCCATCTATGTTTCCAGGTGTTTTTCAACATCTTCCTCCTCCAGGAAGCCTTCCCTACTCATCCTAGGCATAACCGTCTCCCTCTTAGAAGCTTCTCCTACTGTCTGTGCAACTTATGAGACCCTTAACATGTCCTGCTTTATGTTGATAAGTACGATTTTTGTTCTGAGCTTATATTGCTCTTTCAAAGAACACTCAGGAAATTTCTACTCAGTGCCTGCCCCTGTGCTTTGGGAGACACACAGATGAAGAACCCTGGTGCCTGTAAGGAACTCCCAGCCCAGTAGGGGGCCAGGCAGGCAAACCTGTACTGACGAGTGCCAGGTGTAGAACAGAGGTGTGCATAGGGTGCTATGGGGGCAGGGCACTGGGGGGGTGGCGCAGGTGGCTCTCAGGCCTCCACCGCGGAGGTGATGCTTAGAAGCTCCCCAAAGAAACCACAGACTTGTTGGAACGGATTCCCTTTATATTATCTTTATATATTCTCTGTATAGTTGGAGACTAATTCTCTTTATATTCTCCATAGCTGTGATGATCATATTGCCTGGCAATTTAATTTTTTAAATAGCTTTTAAAAGTCTGATTATAAAACTATATACATTATAGAAAATTTGGAAAAATAGCCAAGGCCAAAAAAAGAATATAAAATCACTCCTAACTCTACTGCCCAGACCTGACTGCTCTATTTTCATGCAGATGCTTCCCAGTTTTTTCCCCACGCTTATTTTCCAGTGCAACAAAAATGGGTTGTGCTCATAGAATTATTATTTGCTTTTTCTTTTCACATAACAATATAGCAAGAGTATTTTACTGATGTCCTTTCATATTCCTCTTCAGTCATTTTAATGACTGCATAATATTCCATAGACCATAATTTATTTGCTAATCATCTCTTGTTGGACAAATAGTTTCTAATTTTTCACTATTTTAAGCCACACTGTGGTGAATAGTCTTGTAGATAAATTGCTGTTCACATCCATTATAATTTCCTTAGTATAAATTTCTAAATGGAGATAGTTGGGTCAAAAGCTACATACGGCAGTAGGCCCAGAGGTGCAGCGGTTAAGTGCGCACGTTCTGCTTCTTGGTGGCCCGGGGTTCACCGGTTCGGATCCCAGGCGCAGACATGGCACTGCTTGGCACACCATGCTGTGGTAGGCGTCCCACGTATAAAGTAGAGGAAGATGGGCACAGATGTTAGCTCAGGGCCAGGCTTCCTCAGCAAAAAGAGGAGGACTGGCAGTAGTTAGCTCAGGGCTAAACTTCCTCAAAAAAAAAAAACAGCTGCATACCTTTTAAAGGTGTTTGACATTTGTTACATTCTGCCAAATAACCCTGCAAAAGGTTTTTTTAACAACTTACACTCCCGTCAGCACTATATGGCAGGATGCTGGATGTTATTATTATTATGATGATTTTTTAAGAAACAAACCCAGACATTGTCGCTTTAACGGCTGCGGGCAGCGTGGGTCGCGGAGGGGAAGGTGCTCTCTTGTTTTGTCTGCCTTTCTGACCAGCAGGGTAGATTTGCCTTCTTCATATGTTTCTCCTGTATGTCTTTTTAAAGAATCTCCTGTTCGCGTCCTTCGCCCACTCTTCTATTTATTGACACAGGAGCGACACCAGCTAGCGCTTCCTGACTGCCTGCTCTGTGCCGGGCAGTGTCCCAAGCGCCTTACAGGATCCACGGAAACTCGAAAGCTACGGGAGCTCCAATCGGTCAGTCATTTCACTCCTGCCTTTGCAAATATGTGTTCAAAGTTCTTTTCCTGTGCTGAGATCAGAGAAATATTAACGTATATTTTCTTTTGGCTCTTATATGGTTTAATTTTAAATTTGATTTTTAACATTTAAATATTTAATCCATTTAGAATTTATCTTGATTATGGTATGAGAAAGAGTTTCAACATTATTTTTTTCCCAAATGATTAGCCAGTCATCCCCAGATGATTTATGGAATAATCAATCTTTTCTCTTCAGATTTGAAATGACTCCTTTATCCTATGCTGAGTCTTTTAATCTGTTTTAGATCTTTCTCTTCTGTTTCAATGATATGTCTGTGTATTATCTCACCAGTACTATACTTTTTAATGTAGTTTTATAACGTATTAATATCTAGAAGAAATCTTAAGTTCCAATAAAAGTCATTTTGTCAAGTTTTAATAAAAATCTCTTTCTTATCAACAAGGAATATGGGAGAAAATTAATTTGGGAAATATCAATTTATGAACTTATGATATCTCTCCATATATTAAAGTTTTTCATATTTTTCGTGAAAGTTTTTTAATTGAAAGTCTTCACATTTATTATGTAGTTTATTTATCAATATTTTGCACTGTTTATTAGTATAAAATATAAATGGATTTACCATATTTTTGAACCAAAAATCAATATACTCATTGATAAGATTTTTTAGTGTTTCTACGTGTCAAAGACATTTTAGGAGGTGTAGTTTGCATGCTGACACGTGGGAATTTCTGAGCATTTCTATAGTTAAGAGGACAAGATGGGAATATTTAAAAATGGAAGAGAATTGTCAAATCCCAGAGGTGTGGCCTCCGGGCCAACGCGCCAGGGCAGGGCCTGCACCACGGATGGCACTCAGGATTTACGAATGGCTCCACACCAGCATGTCG